CTAGACTCTACACTGGCCAGCTAGAGATCTAAATGCAAGGACTAATGGTGTACTTCCCTGTGAGTGATGTTCTGTTATCTTCCACCATTCACACGTAATTCTTGAGGTCCCACAAATTTCCTGTCCAAATTCTTCAACAGAGGACATTAACATGAGTTCCTTTTACATATTCAGCCCGAGAAGCCCCAATTTGGCCATGAAAATGCCAGATTATTAGTTGAACTTTTCACGATAACCAGTGCCTACAAATTACAAATGGTATCTCCCTGGCATCACTCAGCAGCTGTTCTATGCCCCCCTCACTTGAAATTTCTCAAAAGGGTCAAATCAACATCATATTTTATTACACAATTGTTTTATTCAAATTTACACATGCTAAAGTTAGGAAAATCCAAAATTTTCCACACTGGCCTCTTTGAATCCTTCTGGGACAGTATTTATGGCTATGGACGAATTCATTGTGTGTGCATTGGGAACTGGTAATTCAGAGGCGCCATCTTTTAGGAATTTGGACGAGATATTACCGGAACCGGTGCTCTTAGTAGGGGTTTAATTTACATAGTTCTTTACGTACGAAGTCATAAGGTATACCTACTAGTTGACAACTGCTCGAGGTGACTCCCTTATCAATGTAATATGTTTTAAATTTATCAGAGTCTGTGTTCAAAGAATTTGATGCAACTGGCAGTTTACTTACTAGTGTTGATGCCACAGAAGTGTAGTATGAAGTAAAACAATTTGTCAATTTGTCTCGTGGCATAATTCGTTATCAATTTATAGCCCTGTGTTAGATCTAATTGTGGATTTATGACTATACCCCAACTGTTTTAGCTGTTGCCAGAGCTTTCTGGGGTTATTCTTGTACTCTTCGCCTTTGCTCCTTGAATGAGCTTCTGTACTATGTTCCTAACTTCTGGAATTCATTTAGCCTGAATATCCTCTGTTTATCTTAAATCTTTTTTACAATTATTCCCTGGAATTTTCACATTATCTAATACCTCAGTAGTCATCCAGGGTTTGGTTCTTCGTTGAATCCTAACCTCTTTAACTGGTGCAGTGAACTCGGGAATTTTTCTCAGGCATCATTTACGTCCGTGCAACTTATTATCAATGTCCAATTCACAATCACAATTTTGTAGCCTATTTACCAGTATTTTTTGGCGTGTAGTTTCTAGTTGACCTCATTTTAATTGTCCTGTGTAGGCCTGTCCGATCCCTAATGTTTTCTGGTACAGTAAATTGATCAGATGATCTCTAAGACCTGTTTATTGACGCCTGAATCTGACTAATGTTCAGCAATGCGATTACAAAGGATGTGGTCTAATATGTTGGCTGAGAACCGTGTAATCCAGGTTGGTTCATTATTAAATGAATGTAACTATATTAATCCGGAATTTGCTATATCTGTTAATTAGCCCATTATTTGCTGTTGGAAAGAGATATGAAGTCTCCCAATATCAATGTCTTAGAACGCTATGTAAGAAATGATTAGTGCCTATGTAAGAAATGATCTAGTGCCTATGTAAGAATGATCTAGTGCCTGTGTAAGAAATGATCTAGTGCCTGTGTAAGAAATGATCTAGTGCCTGTGTAAGAAATGATCTAGTGCCTATGTAGAAATGATCTAGTGCCTGTGTAAAATGATCTAGTGCCTATGTAAGAATGATCACTAGTGCCTATGTAAGAAATGATCTAGTGCCTGTGTAAGAAATGATCTAGTGCTGTGTAAGAAATGATCTAGGCCTGTGTAAGAAATATCTAGTGCCTATGTAAGAAATGATCTAGTGCCTATGTAAGAAATTGATCTAGTGCCTGTGTAGAAATGTCAGTGCCTGTGTAAGAAATGATCTAGTGCCTGTGTAAGAAAATGATCTAGTGCCTATGTAAGAAATGATCTAGTGCCTGTGTAAGAAATGATCTAGTGCCTATGTAAGAAATGATCTAGTGCCTATGTAAGAAATGATCTAGTGCCTGTGTAAGAAATGATCTAGTGCCTGTGTAAGAAATGATCTAGTGCCTGTGTAAGAAATGATCTAGTGCCTATGTAAGAAATGATCTAGTGCCTATGTAAGAAATGATCTAGTGCCTATGTAAGAAATGATCTAGCCTACTACCTAAGACCTGATCTGAATGATAATAAATTGGAGACTATGGCTTGAGGTGTTGTTACCCAAGACAACCAATCCTAGTAGGAACTAGTTACCGCCCCCCACTCATGATCAATTCTTGTCCGGAATTGATTATGGGTGGGGGGGGGGCGATAACTAGTTCCTACTAGAATTGGTTTAGTCTCGGGTAACAATACCTCAAGCCATAGTCTCCAATTTATCATTCAAATCAGGTCTTGGGTAGTAGGCTAGATCATTTCTTACATAGGCATATACCCTACCGCTATTTCTATTTCTAACTAAGTGCTTTATGTTGTAACCTATTCTGACTTCGTCGTCAGTCACCGTGGCATCCAACCAAGATTCAGAAACGGATATAACTGCTGCCCTAGTTATGTTAGCTAGAATCCTAATCTCTGACATCTTGGGTAAGAGTGACCTCGCGTTGACATGAATAAAGTGAAGGCCTGTTTTCTTGAAGCAGTCATAATCATCAATATTTGGCATGGGGTCATTTGTGTTAAGAAGGTTAAGTAACTCAATGTCAGCACTACTAAAGGGTAAATAGGTTAGAGTGCATTTATTACAAATATTAAAATGACCAAACATATAACCATTATGCACCCACTGCTTACACGTTTTACATATGATGTGGTGGTCTGGTGGTGGTCTGGTGGCTAAAGCTCCCGCTTCACACACGGAGGGCCCGGGTTCGATTCCGGCGGGTGGAAATTCCGACACGTTTCCTTACACCTATTGTCCTGTTCACCTAGCAGCAAATAGGTACCTGGGTGTTAGTCGACTGGTGTGGGTCGCATCCTTGGGGACAAGATTAAGGACCCCAATGGAAATAAGTTAGACAGTCCACGATGACGCACTGACTTTCTTGGGTTATCCTGGGTGGCTAACCTTCTGGGGTTAAAAATCCGAACAAAATCTTATCTTATCTTACTGTTCTTTCGTATCTTGGTAGTGTGTAAACATTTGTCTGGTGTTATTTGAGGTAACTGTATTATTTCTGTGGTCTTACGATGGCCTATGCATGCATTACAGACAAAGTTAAGGTTAGCATTCCTAGGTACTAGTCCGTCGTCACTAATTTTATCCGTACTCCTTATGTGCACCCACTCTTCACATATATCACAGTTTATCGCCCGACTGCTGCTACCGACACTCTAACCGCTGATTACAGGGACACCTAATCTGCCTGGTTTGCATCTGTACATTAGCAAAAAGAGCTGTGCGCCAATGTTTTCTTTTTATTTATTTATTTATTTTATGGGTATGAAGTATGCCATACCTTGCGGCGATAGTGACATTTACGTTTCTGATATAACGACATTTGTGGGGTTTTCACTGTCCAGGGTGCCATTACTCCAGTAGCCTTTTCCAGTCCCTTTGATTGATTTGCCCGAAATACTCTGCATAACAAGCGGCTTACTATATAGTAGTATGTCATTGATGTCAGCTAGGCCTGTAAACTTTGCACATGTACTTACCTGGAGAGGGTTTCTGGGGTCAACGCCTCCGCGGCCCGGTCTGAGACCAGGCCTCATGGTGGATCAGGGTCTGATCAACCAGGCTGTTACTGCTGGCCGCACGCAAGCTGACGTACGAACCACAGCCCGGATGGTCAGGTACTGACTTTAGGTGCCTGTCCAGTGCCTTCTTGAAGACAGCCAGGGGTCTGTTGGTAATCCCCCTTATGTATGCTGGGAGGCAACTGAACAGTCTTGGGCCCCGAACACTTGTAGAAATAAAGATTTTTTTAAATATGTTGGCCATCTCCCACCAAGCAGGGTGACCCTAAAAGAAAGAAAAACCCAAAAAGAAAGCATGAACTTTCATCATTCAACACTTTCACCATCACTCATTCATAAACGCTGTCTTTACAGAGGCTCCCAGATAAGAAAGTTTAGATGCCCCTCCAAACTGCCAATATCCCAAACCCCTCCTTTAAAGTGCAGGTATTACACTTCTCATTTCCAGGACTCAAGTCCAGCTAACCGGTTTCCCTGAATCCCTTCACAAAATATTACCCTGCTCACACTCCAACAGCTCGTCAGGACACAAAAACCATTCGTCTCCATTCACTCCTATATAACACACTCATGCACGCTTGCTGGAAGTCCAGGCCCCTCGCCCACGAACTACCTTTACCCCTTCCCTCCAACCTTTTCGGGGATGACCCCTACCTTGCTTTCTTTCCCCAATAGATTTATACACTCTCCAAGTCATTCAGCTTTGTTCCATTCTCTCTAAATGATCAAACCACCTCAACAGCCCCTCTTCAGCCCTCTGACTGATACTTTTAGTAACTTAACACCTCATCCTAATTTTCACACTACGAATTCTCTGCATAATATTTACACCACACATTGCCCTTAGACATCTCCACTGCCTCCAGCTGCCTCCTCGCTGCAGCATTTACAACCCAAACTTCACACCCATATAAGAGTGTTGGTATAACTACACTCTCGTACATCCTTTCTTTGCCTCCATGGATAACGTTCTTTGTCTCTGCAGATACCTCAATGCACCACTCACCTTTTTTCCTTCATCAATTCTATGGTTAACCTCATCCTTCATAAACCCATCCGCTGACAAGTCAACTCCCAAATATCTGAAAACATTCACTTCTTCCATACTCCCTCCCTCCAGTGTGATAACCAATTTTTCTTTATCTAAATAGCTTGATACCCTCATCGCCTTACTCTTATCTTTGTTCATTTTCTACTTTTACACGCCCTCCCAAACTTGTCCACTAACCTTGGCAACTTTTCTTTAGAATCCCCCAAAAGCACAGTATCATCAGCAAAAAGTAACTGTGTCAACTCCCATTTTGTATTTGATATTGTTAAATAAACTTAATACATTATTCCCTGATTCCCGGGTTGCAGGACTCAGAAAGTCATAAGGTTTAGAAGCCCTTAACAACCCCAACAATAACACCACACGTCGTGGCCTGATGCCCGGGGTATTTTACTGTATTTTGGGCATCCTACTCTCTCCTTCACTGTAACAGCTGACAACCCACGGAGCAAGTAGAAGAAAATAGGGAAAAGAAGACAAGATGAGCAGTAAGAGGAAACATCCATCTAGCGAGGGCAAACCTAATGCTTCTATCTGTGAGCTGCTACTGGGTGAGGATGTATTTTTATATATATAAATGTCAGGTTATCCTAGTTTTTCATCATAATGACCAAACAAAACTCCTGAAGAGCGAAACGTTGCCACAATAAAATGTCACATTAATTGAATGTGTCCTTTCACCTAACATATTTGTATACGTAAGAGGGAGTACCAGTAGACCCTAGACTGTCTTCAAGAGGAAGCTGACCAGCCGGGTTGTGCTTTGTACGTTGGTCTGCATGCAGTCAGCAGTAACAGTCTGGTTGATCAGGCCCTGATCCACCATGTTATACCAGAAATCTCTCCGGAAAGCACCCTGGATCAACAGGCACAAAAAAGGGAGGAACTAATGAGGCTTTGTGAAAAGTACTCATCGTTTAGTTAGTTAGTTTAATATGTTTATTATGCACCCCATACCCATCCTGTGGGCGGTAGTCAAAGGATTACAGAGGTACATAATGGGTCCAGGGACTGGACTCCAAAGTTTTGATAGCTGAGCAAGTTACAGAGGTAATGAACTCACAATTTACAAAAGTAATGAACTCACAATTTACAAAGGTAACGAACTCACAATTTACAAAGGTAATGAACTCCAGGTAGGTCTGGTCACAATCATGACAAGTTACAAAGGTATTTACAGATTACAGAGGTACGTAATGGGTCCAGTGACTGGGCCCCCAAAGTTTTGATAGCTGAACTAGGTACAAAGGTAATGAGCTCACAAGTTACAAAGGTAATGAATACTGTAAGAATTGTTACTTATGTTTATACATGGCTACAATCATGAACAAATTATAGTGTAATGAGCAATTCATACTTCCACACCCGGTCACAACTATAATGAGTTATTGGTGCAAATATTGATTGTTGAGTCACACACACACACACACACACACACACACACACACACACACACGCACGCAACCCATCGAACCAACAGATAACTGATCCCACTAAAAATGAAAATACCCGGAGTTCATATACACAAACAATGAGGAACTAATCAGAGACTAACAGTTACAAAAACAATATACTCTGACAACAACATCATACAAGTACAAACAAATATTAACTCAGAGTTAGGGAACTGCAGCACTAATGAAAGAGAAGGGATGTTCAGTAAGTTTAAAGTCCAACAACCATAGGAAAAAATAAACCAAGAGCTATCAGACATATCTTGGGAGTCAGACATGAACACCCTAAGTCCCCACCCTGCTTAGAGAAGCTGAACATAGAAGTATACAAGGTCTGTATTAAATATGTATCATTGAGGAAGCCCAGAAGATCAGTTATAGAGAGTGTAGAAGATGGTACAAAAGAAGAAAATGGATTGCTAAATTGCTTAATAAAAACACAAATATGCCAAGATATCACTGAATTAGAGCAAAAACTTAGGATGTCATACCTAACAGAAGAAGTACAAAGGGAACAAAGGGCCATAGAGGATATTACCTGGAGTTTACCTGGAGAGAGTTTCGGGGGTCAACGCCCCCGTGGCCCGGTCTGTGACCAGGCCTCCTGGTGGATCAGCCCCTGATCAACCAGGCTGTTGCTGCTGGCTGCACGCAAACCAACGTACGAGCCACAGCCCGGCTGATCAGGAACTGACTTTAGGTGCTTGTCCAGTGCCAGCTTGAAGACTGCCAGGGGTCTGTTGGTAATCCCCCTTATGTGTGCTGGGAGGCAGTTGAACAGTCTCGGGCCCCTGACACTTATTGTATGGTCTCTTAACGTGCTAGTGACACCCCTGCTTTTCATTGGGGGGATGGTGCATCGTCTGCCAAGTCTTTTGCTTTCGTAGTGAGTGATTTTCGTGTGCAAGTTCGGTACTAGTCCCTCTAGGATTTTCCAGGTGTATATAATCATGTATCTCTCCCTCCTGCATTCCAGGAGAAATCCAAAATATTTCTATTCCTATGCAAAAATCCAATCTAAGAATTACCTGTGGAATTGGACCATTATTGAGAGAGACTCGTATACTGACAATGAACAGAAAATGAGTGAAATCCTAGAAGAACAGTATGAGTCGGTGTTCAGCAACCCACTAAATGACAGCAAGGTAGAGAATGCAGAAACATTTGTAACTCCAGCAGAAGACCACGGAGCCCAACTAACTGACATTAGTACAAATCTCGTAGATTTTGAAAAAGAAATGGATAACATGCCCACTCATTCAGCTCCTGGACCAGATTCATGGAATGCTCTATTTATAAAGAAGTGCAAAGAACCACTAGCATGAGCCCTCAGTATTCTTTGGAGACAGAGCCTGGATCTAGGTGAAATACTGAAGACCTTAAAGAGTGCAGACATAGCTCCTTTGTATAAGGGAGGTAGTAGAGCACTAGCTAAAAATTACAGACCAGTAGTCCTAACTTCTCACATCATAAAAATCTTTGAAAGAATAATGAGATGGCAAATTACAGTACAAATTTCATGGACCAGCATAACCCAAACCAGCATGGTTTTAGAGCAGGACGATCATGCCTCTCACAGCTGCTGAACCATTATGACAGAATTACGGAGGCATTGGAAGATGACCAAAGTGTAAATGTGATTTACACAGATTTTGCAAAGGCATTTGACATATGCAATCATGGAGTGATAGCACACAAAATGGGGGCCATAGGCATTACAGGGATGGTAGGCAGATGGATTTTCGGGTTCCTAACACACACAACATAGAAAGGAATAGTGAACAGAGCAAAATCCAGCATCAGCAAGGCAAAAAGCTCAGTGCCCCAAGGCATTGTCCTGGCACCTCTGCTGTTTCTCATATTCATAGCAGACATGGATAAAAACACCCATCACAGTTTTGTATCATTTGCAGATGACACTAAAATAAGCATGAAAGTCACTACAGTAGAAGACACTGGAAAATTACAGGAAGACATAAGCAGGGTTTTCCAGTGGGCAGTGGAGAACAACATGATATTCAATGGTGATAAGTTCCAGCTGCTTAGGTATGGAAGGAATGAAGAACTCAAAAGGAACACTGTAGTATACAAAACTCAAGAGGGTCATCAAATAGAGAGAGAGGAACACGTAAAAGACTTTGGAATAATTACGTCAGCTGACCTTTCTTTTAAAGAACGTAAGACAAAAATCACGACAACCAGGAGGATGACGGGGTGGGTATTGAGAACTTTTAAAACAAGGGAAATAATATCAGTGGTGACTTTCTTCAAATTGCTAGTGCTCCTTCATTTTAGAATATTGCTCATTGCTGATGACCCAGTTCAAAGCAGGAGAAATTTCAGGGCTGGAGCAAATACAGTGGTCCCTCAATTATCGTCCTTAATCCATTCCTGGAAGTGGAACTATTATCGAAATAGACGATTTTCGAATCAATTTTCCCCATAAGAAATAATGTAAATACAATTAATCCGTTCCTGACACCAGAAGTATTAAAACAAAAAATTTTTTTTACATGAAATATAGATGTAGTACATATACAATACAATGGGACATGATAACACTTACCTTTATTGGCGATTCTTCTTAGTGTATGGAAGACTGGAGGAGGAAATCCCCACTAGCATTAGCACAGAACATGAGCGTCAGCCTGTCTTTCATAGGCTTGTGTCCTGGGAGTGCCTTTTCTTCCTGAGTAATGTAGGTCCTCTTTGGCGCTTTCTTCCAAAAGAGGCCTGTTTCGTCACAATTGAACACTTGTTCAGGTTTCAATTCTTCAGTACGCTTCTTAAATCTCTCAAACTAGCCTTTGCTGGCCTTAAATTCACTCACATCACCACTAGTTGCGGGCAATTTCTTTACCAAATCGTCATGCAACTGCCTAGCCTTTTCACAAATAATCTCCTGCTATTTGTTTCTCGTATATCCACACCAATAATAACTTCTCAACATCTTCGAGTACTGGTGATCTCATTTTTGTCAGCATATTTACCCCCTTTGCAACAACAGCTTCCTTGATTTCCTTTTTCTTGGCTATGATGGAAGATATGGTTGTACGGGATTTGTTATACATCCTGGCCAGTTCACCCACACATACGCCACTTTCATATTGTTCAATGATGTTTTTCTTAAATTCAGTTGTATTTCTCACCTTCTTTACCAAAGGCTTGGCACTAGGAGCTTTCTTTGGAGCCATGGTAGCTTATTTAGCACTTGCAAGAACTAAAATGAATGGAATATTATGAAATACTATTTTGTATGAACATGTGAGGGGACCATCGCTCACTGGTAAACAATGGCACACTGGCTGGGAAGGGAGGACGACGCGGCTCAGAGCCGTGAGTACACGTCCAGGGCGAAAGACGATTAGTGAGTTAACGGACCATTTGCGAGCCAATGTTTAGACGAAATAACGCGACTATTTCTGAAATGGACGACTTTCAGGCCGGACGATTATTGAGGGACCACTGTACAGAGAGCGTTTATGGCACACATTGAGCCAGTAAAACACTTAAATTACAGTGGACCCTCAGCTAACGATATTAATCCATTCCTGAAAGCTCATCGTTAGCTGAATTAATTTTCGCCATAAGAAATAATGGAAATCAAATTAATCCGTGCAAGACACCACAAAGTATGAAAAAAATTTTTTTTACCACATGAAATATTAATTTTAATACACACAAACTGACACTTACCTTTATTGAAGATCTGGTGATGATTGATGGGATGGGAGGAGGGGAGAGTATAGAAGTTGTTAATGTTTAGAAGGGGAATCCCCTTCCATTAGGACTTTAGGTAGCACGTCCTTTTCCGGGGTTACTTCCCTTCTTCTTTTAATGCCACTAGGACCAGCTGACCATGGTGCAGCAACAGCTGACTTTGGTGCAGCAGCAGCTGACCGTGGTGCAGCAACAGATGACTGTGGTGCAGCAGCAGCTAACTGTGGTGCAGCAGCAGCTGACTGTGGTGCAACAGCAGCTCACCATGGTTCAGCAACAGCTGACTGGTGCAGCAACAGCTGACTGTGGTGCAGCAATAGCTGATGGTGGTGTAGCAGCAGCTGACTGTGGTGCAGCAGCAGCTGACCATGGTGCAG